TCTCGTGTCCATTGGCCTGCTCCCCTTTCTCCACTCCGAATAGTCCGTTGCGGATGGGTTTTCCGTTGGCATGGAGGAGGGCGCTTTCGGGTAATACACAACAAAGATTGTAGTGCACCAACCCCAACGCCAAATCAGCCCAATCCTCGTCCCGAACCATAACCTTCGACGACTTAATCGCTTCTCCCTCAAATCCTGGTTTTAGGAAACGCTGTGGATCTAGAAGCAGTTCGCGGACACCCCCATCGGCCAAATCCACCGCTGAAATAGACCCAATATGCCCAAAGGGAAGTGCCGGCTCCACATTCGCCCAGCTGGTCCACTGGGCTACCTTCACCTCCTCTCCCGAATAGCTGATACCACGCACTTGAAAAAACTGTTTCCAATCAATAGGCTCTATACGAAAACTGTGCTTTCTGAAGAGTTGAATTCTGTCTCGGAGATACTCTAAAATACCACGCTGTGTGTCTGTACCAGGTCCTATACTCATACGAACTCGTTGACCTCCATGCATGTAATTAAGACTAAGTACCAAGAAAACCATCCAAAAGTCATCAGAGTGGCAATCTTGTTGTTCAAGGACAAGAGCTGGGTGCTTAGGCAGGGGCAGAGGGAAGACATCCACCTTTCGAGATAAACCCTCAGCCATCAAACCTTCTACATTCGCAGGATTTGATTGCCCAATAGCCGAAGGAACTCGACGTACTTCCGCCTAGCACCTGCTCCAAAAGATAACGTCCCAGCAAATCCGAAGTGAAACCAACCTCAAGGCTCAACGACTGTCGGCCACGATTGTGATCAGGGCTCGTCGCCCCCGCATCGCCGCCGACCGAACCCCCAACCCCTACCCTCCTAGGAAGAGGAGAGCCGGAGTCAGGATGGTTCACTGGGGGCGCATCGGTTCTGTCCGGAGGGCTCCCCCCTCCTTGCCTTTGCCTCCCTTTCCTCCGTCTTTCCCCTTGGTGGTCTTTCCCTTCTCTCCTCCTTTCGGGCTTCATCCTTTGAAACCTTTCCCCAGGTCCCTCTGCACTTTGAAATCGTTCTTGAATACTTTTGTGGCCTCCTGTGCTTCGGCTACGCTGCTGATCCTTTCTTGGTCTAGAGGAACGAGCTCGATGTTCTGTGCTACCTGCCATGACGCTCCATTCAGAACGAGCTCGATGGCCTTCAACCTCTGTACCAGAAGGTCCGCGCAACCCAGAAGATCCCTTTGAACTAAGCGGTCTAACCCGTGAACCAAGGTCAATACCTCTCGCTTCTGTCCTGGTGAGATGTTCTTGGTGAAGAGATGAAGGCGAGAATACTTCAGGAAGAGGGCTCTCAACTGCTCTCCTTTCTCGTCGCCTAGGGCTTCTACCAACAAACGGCTTATCTCCTCCAGCGCGTGGCGAGTCAAAGCACCTGGAATCTTCTTCGATACCCTGTGCACGCGATGCCCCTCTCGAAATGGATGGCCACTGTCCTGGGAGTCTATGCTCCTGCTCCTGCTGCTGCCGCTCGCGCTGCTGCTGCTGTTGCTGTTTTCGCTGCTTTCTCTTTTCCTGCTGCTCCTTCCTCCTCGCTTCCTTGTCTTCTTCTTTTTCCTTCCTCGCCTCAAAGCCTTCTTCAAGCTGACACGCGGATCCAAGGGAGTGTCGCGGAACGATTTGTTCCCCGTCTTTCGATCCCTCTGGGCATCGCCTGTGACGGGCGATGGGGCTCCTCTCTCCTGCTGGGGGCCTTCTGCTCTCACACCTGCCAGTCGCTCGAGTTCCTCGTGTAACCCTCCTTTCATGGCTGGGGAGGTAGCTCTTAGTTCCGCGACGTTGCGGGTCCAAAGGGCTTCGGGATCTAGGGTCACCAACATGCTTCCGTGAAGAAGGTCCTGACTCATATTGCCCTTCCGGCAACCTACGGGGCAAAGGTGAACGAGTAGCTCTCCGACCTCCCCTCCTCTGATTGATGTGCCACACCATTTGACCAACTCTTGGTTATCAGAGCCTTTCACAAACAAGTGCAGGAAGGTACCGGACTGATCAATAGTGATGCGCTCCAACTGCCCACACGCCAAAGTCTGTTTGCCCCAATAATCCCCAAGAATACAATAATCGGAACCAGGACACCAGAAACTCAAAGGCAAACTCGAAATGGACAAGGACTCCCCTTTGCTAAGACGCCCCTGGTAATCAAAGTCCCGACCCTTACCAAAAAGGCGAAATCGCTTGCCGCTGGAATCTGGTTTCCTCCTCTTCAAAATACCAGGTTTCTTGAAAATCCTACTTCCCATAAATAAGAATCACTGCTGGTAAGGTTCAATAGATGTTTGAGTCACTGGAGAGCTCGCTGCCGGACTGATCCAGCGGAGTCAATCGGGATCGCACCACGGTGCCACGAGCTCGCTGCCACTCTGCTCGGCTCTGCCCGCGATTCTTCTTCTTGCGCTTTCTAGCAGCTGGTCTCTCGGCACGTTCGGGGTTTTGGCTATGGCTCGAATCTACCCTAAGGTGACTAGGAGGAGGTCCACTTGGCTCAGGCGGTTTTGAGGAAGAAGCCCCCGCGACCTTGATGCCTTGGGCAAAGCTCAACTCGGGTTGAGGGGGAGGCTCATTGTAACCTTCCGGTGGACCTCCAAAGCGGTTCTTCTGCCACTCGCGCAATCTACCACTAAGGAGCCTGAGCTCTGAGACTATCTTACTATGATGCTCAGCTGGTATCAAAGTGCAGATCCCCCGGAGCCGATCCAACTCTCTGCACACAGCACAGCTGTTGAAACCCGATACGGTTCGAGGCTCGATACAGGGATCCACACCGCACCAATAACACTGAGACATGTCAAATGCTCAAGCCCCTTCGACCCGAAAGTTGCGACTGTTACAAAAGGTTGTGCTTCGTCTTAAACTACGAGTGCGTGTGGTCTACTACTACTACTACTACTCCTACTACTCCTACTCCTACTCCTACTACTGTTACTTCTGCTGCTACTACTACTACTACTACTACTAATACTACTACTACTACTACTACTCCTCCTCCTCCTCCTCCTCCTCCTGCTCCTGCTGCTGCTGGTGCTGCTGCTGCTGCTGCTGCTGCTGCTGCTAGTGCTAGTACCGGCTTGTGTCGGCAGATCTGGGCATCGCGCGCTCGGCTCTGGCAATGAGGCCGTGTTGGCTGTAGCCGACGTCCTGCGAGTGTAATCTCTGCACAGGTTGGTCCACTCCGCGTAGCATGAGCATTCATTTTGCACTAGCATGATCAAGATATAGCCTGACAGGCACTTCGTAGAAACGACGTGGCTCGAGTGTATGCGCTCCTAGCGTCCGGAGTGAGTTTCATTTTGCCAAGCACAGCTAGGCAAGATGCTGTTGAATCCTTCCGAGCATGTGATGCTTCGCGATCCTCAAACCAAAGTTTCCGACATGTTCCGAATCCGGCCCGGTTGCGCAGAAACCTGATCGCCCTCAACTGAGTCACGACAATCGGTGTCCAAAGCAGCTTCCGAACATGCTTCAGCACCAGCTGTCACGAGCGGCGGTAGGTATGTTGATTATCATCCATCTTCTTCCTTTGCCAATCCTAGTCCTACCCCACTCGTCTTCAAAGTATAACAGCGAGGCAGAATATCAACGGCCGCCGTGCTAGTGGTTGACAGAACCAAACAGGTGGGAAGAAGAGTAGCCATCGTCATTGTCCCGGCTTGGCTGAATAGTGGCATTGTGGGACTTCGTGAATAGCGCCTATCCTGACTTTGCTGCTTCCTTACATCCTCTGGCCCCCCGCCCCGGCAAACTGCTGGGCAACTGAGCGCGTGGCTCCGAATCCAGCAGCGCCGTAGCCAAAACCACCTGCTTGGGACCTGGTGGCATGGCTGGCCTCTTCATCAGAGGAATGGGGTGGTGGCAAGATTAACGGCCATCAAAAGGAGGATCGTCAAACATTCGGCACCTCAGCCCACTAGCACTAATCTTATCATTCATCTTATGGGAACTCGTATCATGTTTGCTGTCGTTGCTGTCACAATAGTGACTCTCACTCTGAAAGTGGGTGGCCGACGCCAGCTGTTGGATCTTGTCCAGGTTCGGAGGCTTCCAATTGGAATAGCTCACGTCGCGCATGGCGGCTCAGGTGTTGCTCACGGCATGACTTTGCTGCTTTCTGCCAGCTTTTGTCAACTGCATGATGGCAAGTCCGTCTGAGAGTGGTCCCCCCCTTACTTAGGCAAGCCGGGCTTCTACATGTGGACATGTGGTAGCGATTCCTGCGAAGCTGCTCCAGTAACATCATGGAGTGCTCTCAAGCTACGACGTCTCCTGGTCTCGTGTGTTCGCATGCCAAAGCTGCGAGCAGCAGGACACACATGGAGAATCAAACTGAAACCTTGGGCAGAAGTGCTAAGATGCGACTCTTCCTGAGAATCGCGCAAGTCGGTGCTTCTGTGCAAGAAGAGTCTGTGATATTCATGTTCGGAGTTTCGTGAAACCACAGGGATATGCCATCCTCATGTTCGAGATCAACCCATTCAGCACTAGGTCTCTACAAGAAACTCATCCGACTGAACATAGACCATGCTCTGTGGCTAAAGCAAGCACGTGCATGTTGAGATCCCATACAAGTGTCTTTGCTCGGGCACCCCGGCACCCCTTGGCCGGCCGAATCGAGGAGGTGCAACCGAAATCAGGGCTGACCATGTTTTCGACATGCACTAGCTTTAAGCACACGGGTTCGTTTACAGGGCCACATGGGCAGTGAGACGCTGAACTCAGCACTCGCTCTGTAGTTTGGCCAGCACCTCCCTCAAGTGCGGCTGCTGGTGTCCGTCAAAAACATGATAGATGCAGAGCTGCAAGGGATCTAGGTTTCAGGAGTTTGGATGGCATGCATCAAGTTGCTGGCTTGCGCAGCGACTGCGCCAAAAGATTCTGCAGACACCAGATCCCCAGTAGTGAGCGATGCCATTTCGAGATGCAGGAGAGGGGGCCTGCAGATGGGTTTATCCACCCTTCCAGTTGAAACCGGATTCGAGGTCATACCCAAAGTGCTTTGCCCCCCTGGGCCTGCGGCCTCACACGAAGTTCTGCTCGGGGCCCCACCACCTGCGTCCAGACCAGGTTCCAGGACTAGAAACACGTGACTGGGGCAGACGGGGGCGGGCCTTAGCAGACCCTCCAGACAACTTGTCTGGATTGTAGATGTGGGCGAGCAAGAAGCAAGCAAAGTCGGATAGCAGCAGGAAGTGCACGATGTGGCCTGAGGACGACGGCACGTGGCAGGCCTACAAGTTTACACAGTCCAAGGCGAGCGGATCACGAAGATCAGAGCCTATCTGCTTCATTCAGAACCCTTTGATGACAGCTGCTTGATTCCGAAAAGTTTCGCCCTGTTGTCATCATCTTCTGGCTGTGTTTCAATACCTAACTATCGCGGCCTGCAGCTCCCATGGTTTCCACGCCCATGAGCCGGTACGCAGACACCAGGTCCTGGTCGCAATGTGTCGCAACCTGCAGCCCCTTTCCGACAGCATAAGTGGCAATTAGGTGGTACCAAGCACAAGTAATCCCGGGTGCTCGGCTGTCAACAGGGGAATTGCTTGAGAGGTAGGACAGTCACGGAAGGAATCGACAAATGATGACTTCACTGGGATTCAGCCCCTGGTTGGCTTTAGTTGACAAGTGACAGGACAGACGTTGCAGAATGCCGTGATCGCCTCCTGAACACAAGTGGTCTCGCGTTCGCAATAGCACCCGCCCTCAACATTATATCTAAGTGGCCGCGGAGTCCGAAAGGACTGAAGATGAGAGATCGCTGAGAGGCAAGGCGTACACATACCACCTTTCCCGAAGACTGGCTGGCGCCATGGACTTCGCGATATGCGATATGCGATGTGGACTCACCCCAGTACGTAATCTGGGTCCTCGAGGATGTAGAAGCAGACTAAGAACGAGAAGAAAGCCGTGGCCTCAACGCTCCGCACAGCCACCCTTTAAAAAAAGAAAGCCTCGCAGTTGGACAAGTGCCTGCCTGTCTTTCACGGGTTGCTCCGCTGATGCTGCTCCAGTCTTCCCCTTTCTTGGCGGTCTGATGAACCATCCAGACAGCTGGCACCTCAGTCTAGGCAGAGCGCAGCCACGCACCTTCCTGGCAGTCCTAAGGCAAGCACGAAGGCCAGGATTTCAATGTAGTTCGCGGAGGTGAAGATGGTGCCTCTCGATAACAAGAGGCTGCCAATTGTGCCGGCCGGACAGCTTTCATTTTCAAGTCTGCCTACCGTGATGACCCACCAACTCCCAGCAAGCCTCTGGTGATCACTCTTGGTGGTGCATGTCTGGCATTTTTGCTCCCAGGAAAACTGCCATCGCTGCTCAGACGGCCTTCCAACAACGTCTGGTGATTGTGAAAGTCCACGACCTCGGTGACTTACAGCAAAACATCAGATCTAAATTGAGGCCAGTGCTTCTTACGTTCTTAGACCTATATGTAGTGTTCCGAAAAGGAATTTCTCATCCTTGCCATTGCTGCGCTCACTATCACCGCTCCCTGGTGCCCAGTGCCAGACTGCGTCTGCGCAACACACGAAGCCCTCCACGATGTAAGCAACGTCAGGGTAACATAAAACTCTTGAGGGAACGGAGTTTGGTGCCTCAGAATACCCATGAACCTTCCCAACCCAGTGTCCCGAAAGCTCGGAGGGCTCTTGACCTGAACGTCCTTCGGGAAAGACTTGGTCTCCGTGCCTCTGTAAGGAAGGCACCCCCAATGCCCAGAGCCACCAGTCCTCAGGAAGTTGATGCTCGGTGAGAAGAAGCGCATCCCGGCACGGTAGGTGCACGAACTATGACAAACAGTCTTAGCCAACACTGCGCTGAAGGTTGTCCTGACTGTAGGACTGTAGGAAGCCACAAGCCACAAGTCCAAACCGAAGGTGGGCAGTTCGTGAGACCATTGGGTGCAACCCACAGCCCCCATTCCCCGAGAACCTGGCCCCTCTTGGCCTGCAGACTAACATCTCCTGGCGCCCGGAAGCCCAAATCGTGAAACCTCAAGCGCTAGTCAAGCCCGAAACCTGAAAGCCTAAACCTGAAACCCCAGGCAGCTAGAACTTTAACCTCTAAGCTCTAAACCCTGCAACTCTTGGCCCAGCATCCAAGCAAGTCCATCTGCTGCAACAGCGAGGATGCTCGGAATCCAAAGCCTCACCCAGTTTTTTCACTGGCTTTGAGACTATGGCGTTTATTATAGTCTTAGTCCGTTGCCGTCCTCAGCCTTCTTCGGCCTAGCATCATGAAGTTTCTAGCTGCGGGTGCCATCAACTCAATGTCAAGCTGAAGGAGCGCGTTGGAAGTTGGAAAGCAGGATTCGGTATCCCTCTGACATACGTCGGGCATGCACGATGCTACTGACACACAAGTTTTTGCATTCAGACCAGCCACGCTCCACTCATGTTTGCCTTCAGCATTTCGGTTATGATCATCATGGCTTTTCTGCCGGTCATGAACTGATATCAGCACTATGTAGCTACCCTGGATTTCTTGAAGAATGACAGCAGCCCCTGGCTGGAAGAGCCCTGGCCAGCAGAATCTGCAGCGCCAAATCCCTTTTTGAATCAAGCTTTCGACTTCCTGGATTTGGCATTTTGTATGTTATTCTATGTCATATACTGCTATGCTGTACGGAGTCACCGAGTGCACTTTATGATTCAATATGTTTTGTCAGATTTTGTGCCTGGAGGGCGTGAGGTTTGGCCAGTTTGAACCGCAGATGATAGTTGCCTGCCGGGACCTGTAGACTTTGGATTTACTGTAAGAAGAAAGCCACCCACACACAAAACCTCAAAGTAGAGCAAGTCCCATATGCTGCCAAGCGGCCAAAGAACAAAGCTGCGCACACTGCCACGAATCCGATCAGGTTGCACACCCCAATGCCAACCTACATGCACCGATCTCAGTGTATTTCACCATCATTGCGGCGATCAGCCTACTACCCTGGCAAAGCATTCTGTCCGCTCGTTTGCTGTGATGACTGAGATCATGCTTGTCGCTGCTGCTGTTCCTCAAACTGTTATTGATGTACTGCTTGTGCGAGTTTGTTGTAAACAGAAACTGGAAGAATCTCGAGTTTTGGGTACTCGTCACGCCATAAGACTGGGTACTCACAGCAGAACGCATTAGCTCGCATGGCAGCAAGCCATGTGCTTGTGGCAACCCGAATGCATGATCTGCTACGGACCGATGCTCCCAGAAACAACTTCAAGACCCTTGAACCCGATGCACCTCAAGTAGTGGCCACGTGCAGATGCGCAAGCCCAGAAAGCAGCCGTGCATCAACAGCACCTGTCGCAAGGCTGCAAGGAAGCAACGCTACAACAGGTTTCGGGCATACTCATAGGATCTCGTAGGGCGTAGGGTGGTCTCATCCGGCTTTCACCAGCAACCGACAATAACCGACCCGGCGGGTGGTCCTTTTTCGGGATCTCGCGGCAAGGCGAGGGCCAAGCGTCGCATCGCGTCGCATCGCCGAGGCGGTCACAGGGCCTCGGCTGCCGGGCATCTCGCTGCGAGGGAGCGAAGGAACCGGCGAAGACTTTAACGGCCCAGGAGGTCGTCACGATGCCTCTTCCTTTTCCAGTTCACAGTGCAGGTGGTGCACAAATTCCTCGGAGCCTTCCGTGCGCAAGAACATGTCGTAAACTAGCTTCCCTTCCTCTGTGAGCTTGTACACGCGCCGCGATCCAGTCGCCAGCTTCCCCCCAGCTGTGGGACCACGCTGAAAGCAGTCTTCTGTCTCTGCGGCGCACTCGAAGACATTCTGCGTGAAATCGAACTGCCCGGACTTGTAGTACTCGTTCACACTGAAGGGGTGGCTCAACATGAGCTCGGCCTTCTTCACCTCCCCTCCCTCAGGCTTGGGCAGAATCTTCAGGAAGCCATTCTCAGCATGCATGGGCTTCAAGGACTCGGCGTTTTTTGTGAACTGCTGCCAGTTGATGACCATGGCAGGCTCGGACCTCAGAAGCAAGCAAGTGAAGGTCTCCAAATAGTCCACGCCCCTTGGCAACACTTTGCCTCGTCCCTTCCATGTTCCAAGGAGGAAAGCAGGTCCAGGAAATGCCATGGCTGACATCACGAAGGGCTTTGACTGCAGCTGTGAGCAGAATAGACAAACATGCGCAGAGCAGTTGCTGGCGAGTGCACGCACCGCGGGCAGCGGGCATGGCCTTGCTCCCGAAGTGAGAGAGCATGCTCACCGGATCGGGACAAGAGAGAATCTTCTTCTCGAGGAAGACCAGTGGCAACATCTGCACCACAATCCTCAGTGAAGCGCTCTACACTTACCGATACCAGCTGGGTGTCTAACGATTTGTTCTCACTGAAAGGAGCCAAGGAGCAAGGAAAGGAAGGTCTTGGTCGGATCACCCCCTTGGTCATCCTGCACTGCCATGCAGTGTCGCGTGCTGCCTGCCATTTGCAGATCGGGCGCAGCACCTGCCAGTGCTTGTAGAGGACCAGCACCGATGCCGTCGCAACGAGGCTCAACGGCAGCATGATGTGGCTCCTGATCATTGCTGACATCATTCGCTGCAACCACAGAGCAAAACATGCGCATCACATGGCAGAGTACAACGCATGACAACGGCAGCAGCAGCAGCAGCAGCAGCAGCAGCGGTAGCAGCGGTAGCAGTAGCAGTCGTCGTCCCGCCGGTAGTGGTGGCGGTGGTGGTGGTAGTAGTAGTCGTCGTCGTCGTCGTCGTAATCGTAGTGGTGGTACTAGTAGACTCGTAGTAGCTCGTGCCAACTACCTCGCATGAACGCTGTCTAAAAGCACATCCATTTTACTCGACGATGTGACGTCGCAGTCCAATAGCATGATGATGTCAGAGCACATCCATTTTACTCGGCATTTGCAATACTTTCGTGATGTAGTAGTCCAATACGGGTTTGGGTGCCAGGTACTTGGTGGAGAGTGGGGGGGGAGCGTGGCTGCTGGTGGTGGTGGTGGTGGTGGTGGTGGTGGGGGCGGTGGTGGTGGGGGCGGCGGCGGCGGTGATGGCGGTGGTGGTAGTAGTATGAATAGTAGTAGTAGTAGTAGTAGTAGTAGTAGGTCCGCGTCCCGTTTGTGACGCCGCATTTTTGCCACGCTTGCCACA